CCCCTGTCGCCCTGGGCCAGGCATCTATTTGTCGCACAACGACTTCAAGGCGGACCTGAAGGAGATGTGGTTCGGGCTCTACTCCCGCTCAAAGGGGGCGGCCATGGACTCCTCCGGCTTCGAACACGTCTTCCACGGTACAGCGCGGCTCGCGGGCGGGCGGGGGGCTTCTGGAGAGGGCACAGCACAGAGCCACGGCTCCGGGGGCTCTTGGGAAGTTGAATAAACCAAGGCTCCGACAAACCCATTTGCAGAGCCCCTTCTGGGGGAGGAGCCCCCCCTCCAACCACGAGAGCCAGGAAGGTCAGACATGGGGACGCAAGGCCTGGCCCCTAACGTTCAGGATCCTGAGCCAGTGGCTCCTTCTGAGGACTGGCTGGGGCAAAAGCAGACCCCGTGGTTCATAAGAAGAGACGCTCTAGTTCTTGCACAGCCCTGGGGAGCCCCCAAGCGCCAAGTGGGGAAACTGAGGCACAGGCAAAGCCGGCAACTGGCCCCAGCTTGCCCACCAGGCCAGTTGCAGAGGCTGCTAGGAACAGTCCTGGGGACGTCATTGTTGTCAGTCACGCCAGTGCGAGGCGGCGGTGGGGCTCAGTCATGAATTGGCCAAGGGACCAGCTGGACGTGAAAGCTGAAATGGACTGGGCTAGTTGTGCCGGTCTGATATGTGTGGGAGGCAGGCCTGGCGTGGGATTTCCCGGGGAGCAATGGTTTTGGGTTTTTTTTAAACCCAGGCGTGGAATAAATTTTGTTCTGTGCACTAAGGTGCGGGTGGGCATGCACCCACCGGGGGCACTCTGCTGATCAGCGTGGTGGCCTTTGACTCTCTCCTGGGCAGCCGCCCATGTGCACGGATTCCAGGGGACACGGCTGGGGAGACGCCCTCCCCTCCGCCCCCTGAGTCCCAGGCATTCTGGATAAGCGGGTGGACCCTCCTGGCCGTAAGATGCACGGCTCCGGTTTTAGCGTTTCCCCGGGCGAGCGTTTCTCCGCCCAGAGCACTTGCTTATTCCCAGCTGCTGCAGAGGGTTGCAGTTCTCCCTGCCCGAGGCGCTGAGACAACAGGTGCTCCAGGCCCCTGCGCACGAGGCCTTGTCCGGCCGTTGCACCAGAGAACGACACGGATCCCAGGACTTCTCGCCGCGTGCGCAGACTCGCTCGGGGGCGGGGAGAAGCCGTTCCTA